AATCTTATTTTAATTTTTTTACATATAATTCATCATGAAACATTAACTAGAGTGAGTTATATTGTAAATAAAGCATTTATAAAACAAGTGTTGGTGGAAAACATTTTCCCACATATTTTCATATATAATGAAATGTAAATAATTTATTTTTTTAATTCTTAGAATTTTTTTAAAAATGTTTGGATCCTGTAAAAATGGGTAATTGCATATAAAAACCATATAATTACATAAACTTATGTAAATAAAACATTTATAAAAAAAGATGGTTTTAAATGTTGCAACTTATTTGGGTTTAGATTTTAAAAAATCTATCTTTATAGCTTGAAAACTTTATTTAAATGTAGAAAAAATAATAAAATTTTTGCTGGAAGGTTTTAGTTTTGTTTACATTTACTTTTTTTAATGATGCATTTATTTGTAATTCCACAGAAAAATGGTGTCTTTAAAAAGGTTTATTTATGTTGGTTTTTTTCTTATTTTTCAAACAAGATAGCTACTAGTTAACTTGAGATTTTTTTATTTTTGAATTATCACTTATTTTTTTACAAACTTGAAGTAACTTAATACCAAAAATTGCTGGTACCTACTGTCTATCTTATCATGATTCCCCAGTATATTATTGAACTATTTTGTACTAAAATCATCATAAAATACATTGAAACTTTGTTTTCATTAAAACTCAAAAAAAAAAAAAAAATACTTCTCAATTATCTATTTAATGTTATTCATCATGTCTCAAATAAAACTAGTTAAACTAAAAGTACAAACAAAAAAGGATTGTAGAGAAAGTAGTGTATAGCTGTCCTGCTAACTATGCAAAGCAAATAAAAAAACTACCAAATTTTTGTCTACAACAATTCGTGAAACTGAATGTAATGATGAATTACCACACAAAAGTAGTTTGTCATAACAAAACCTAAAACAAAACTAAAAAATTACAAAGCAAAACAAAGAGAAAAACTAAATAATTATTGTAAACATTTCTAGACTTGAACAAAAAGCTATTACATAATTGTAACAAACATAAAAAAATGGTTTTATTTACAAAAGATACATCAACATACATAATAAAAAATATCAAACCCCCAACAGCTTGTGCAAGATCTAAACATCATTGTATTTAATTTATTTTTTTAGGAGGTTTATTTGACTAGTAGAACATAATAAGTGGTTGGAAAGTATTTTTCTTATAATTTTATTTTTATCTGATAAATTATATATATATATATATATATATATATATATATATATATATATATATATATATATATATATATATATATATATATATAATGTAATATTTATTTATATATATATATATATATATATATATATATATATATATATATTTATATAAATATTATATGTAATATATATATATAAATAATAATAATATATATATATATAAATAATATATATATAAATATACTATATGTAATATATATATATATATAAATAATATATATATATATAAATATAATATATATATATACAAATAATATATATATATATATATATATATATATATATATATATATATATATATATATATATATATATATATATATATATATATATATATAAATACTCTCCAACCACTTATTATGTTCTATATATTATACAATATATATTATATATAATATATATTATATTATTATTATTATTACACTGCAAAAAGAGAAACACCTGGAACAGAGCAGAACATGAGTACATGTTCTGCTACAAGCAGATAAGAGACATAGTGCCGGCCATTGTTAATTGTTATATATATATATATATATATATATATATATATATATATATATTTTTTTTTTTTTCCCATTCAAACTCTTCTTAAAATTTTCAACACTCTTCTGGAACATAGTCGAATTGAAATTATTCCACTGATTGACAACTCAACTGATTGTTAGTGAAAAAGTTGTGTTGGTGTGCACAGTTTTTTACAATTTTGAGATGTAATCGTTTACGATGTCCTTGTTGTGGAGCAATAGTTTCTGGTTTGGCATACCAGTTAATGTGGTCTAATTTATTCTTAACTTTGTACTGTTAAATACAGTCCGCATGTACTCTTCTATCTGTTAAAGTAGTAAGATTAAAATTTTCCAATCTTTTTTCATATTCAAAATTTTTAAGCAAGTGAGAGACTTTCGTGGCCATAGGTTGAACATGCTCAAATGCATTTAATATTTTTTTTGAGTAAGCATTACATGCAGGCACAGCAAACTCTGAATGAGGTCTAACATAAGTTATGCATAAATTTTCAAGAGGTTTATATTCCTACTCAGAAAAGCGCTTTTTATCCATCCCAAAATACTGTTGGCTTTGGAAGCATATTTTGTTGCATGTGTTTTCCAATTGAGATTAGAAATGATTGTCACACCAAGGTCGCATTCAGAGTCTGTTGAGACTAAGGCATCAAACCCTAAATTTTTTTACAAGGATATATTGTAACTAAATTTAGGGTTACCATAGCCAAAATGTATAACTTTACATTTATCAACATTCAGTTTCATGAGCCAAATCTCTGTCCA